TTGTATAAAATAATAAAAAAAAAAACCCACCACAAACGTAGAATCCACTTCTGTTCCCCAAAAATCGAGAAGGGGGGTTCAGGAGGAAGCCATTGCAGGGGCCCTGGGAGGCGCCCCGAGGTGTTTGTGCTGCACCCCTGGACGCTGGCCCCGAAGGCAGGACTGTGGGGTGTCTGTGCTGTGTCCCCCGCCCCGCTTTCTGTCCCCGTTTTTGGTTCTGACGTGTACAGGTCTTAGCGCCCACTAGACATGCAAAGGGCCATCTCTGTCCTCGGGGTCTCTCCTTCCTCCTCCCTAGCTCAGGGATGGGCCTTCCAGCCGGAGTACCCCGATTGCTGCCCCGCACCCTCAATACCCCAGTCCTCCCGCATGGCCACCAAGGAGCTGGACCTTGGACACGCCTGCCCTGTTGAGGTGGGTGACAGGGGCCCCCCACCTCCAGGGCCTTAGAGCCACCGCCCCCCTTCCCTGCCCCAGGAACCCCTCTTTTTACTCAAAGGCACTGACTGTAATCCAGGGGGCTGGGACCTGCCTCCCCCCAACCTCTGGCTCCCACAAGGCCCGGCGTTGACCGAGCCACAGGCCACGGACAGGGGCCGGGGTTGGGGAGACAATGTCGCCAGATGCCAGGATGCCCTCACCCCTTTTGCATATGCAATGCCTAGCATGGGACCCCGAAAATAGACGCTCTGCTGCACTGACACTTCCTTGTCAATGCCCAACCAAGGGGGATGTCTCCCTGCCCCCACCCCCCCCCCATACCCCTTCTCTGTGACACACACGTCTTCTCGTCTTTTTCTTTCATTTTTAAAGGGAAGCTTTTTAAGAAGGCAATTTCCATATTGTTTCTACAGGATGGTTTTTGTTCCCCTCCCACCTCCCCCTTAAGCCTGTCAGCCCCCTCCAATGTCTCAGGATCCCCCCTCTCCCCTGGGGCTGGGTGACGGCACCCCAGCCGCATTCACACCCCAGTGGTACAGGGCGAGCTGTTCTGAAGAGAAAACCATCTGCGGTGGCTTGGACACCCAGGCCAGGGACACCCCCTGCTCCAGCTCCTAGAGCGGCCCCCTGAGGGGTGAGCCCGCTTTCCACTTCCCCCTCTCCACGCACCCCCACGCAATAAAACCAACTCCAAAATCACAGCTGTCGTCCTGGCCAGTGGGGGCGACCGGACTTGGGGGGTGGAGCCCTCTGGGACTTCCATAGGAACCAGGGCCGCTGCCCACCGAGACCCTCACACAGACCTCCTTGGGGATTGCACTAACCCCTCGTTCCCAGCTCCGCACTCAGCTTCGCCTGTCCTGCCCGCCCACTTTGCCTTAACTGCCCGCCCGTCCTGGGGGCCACAGCCTCTGCATGGGCCCAGAGCCGGGACCCCCCAGCCCAGCCCAGCCCAGCCCCACCCTCCCCAGACTCCGCGCAATCACATACTGTATATAGACGTGGATCGATTTTATTTTTATTCTTTAAATTAAGGTCGTGATAAAGTGTTGCCAAAGATACCTGCTGAATTCTCGCATTTCAGGAAACAAACAAAAAGTGATATTTGAGGAGGGTCGTGTGACTCCATGAGAAAGGACACAGCTAAAAGCTTTTTTGTTTGGTTGTTTGGGGTTTATTTTGTGTTTTCTTTTTTTGGGGTGTTTTTTTTTTTTTTAACTGCCTGGTACAAAAAAAAAAAAAGAAAAAAAACAATGCGAAATTGTGGCTTCCATTCTCGTGGACGGGTGTGTGCGTGTGTGCAAGACAGCGGGAGTGAGGTCCAGGCTTCGGGGGGCTTCAGGCGGGGGCGCCCGGGGGGCCGGGGAGGTGGCCGGGCCGGAGCCCCCGTCTGCAGCGTCCCCGCCAGCCTGCCGGGCCCGGGGAGAGAGAGAAGCATCCTTGCTACCAGCTGTTGTTGTTCCCTGCCTCGGCCCCACCGACGCCACCCCGCCGTTTGAGATTAAGGAAAAAAAAAAAAGGCAAAAAAATTTTTAAAAATGAAAAAAAAAAAAAAAAATTATAAACCAGTGAATGTAAAATGCTGGACCAGGTCCAGCCTGGCACGGGTGTGGGCCTGTGGCGAGCCAGGCTCGAGCGGGCAATACCAAAGTCTGCCCCCGCCTTGGGTGGTCCGCCAAGGAGACCCCCTCCCACCATGGTGGTCATGAAAGCCCTGTCACCTTTTGTCCATAGCTGTCATTTTGCTTCCTTCCGAGGGGGGTCCCCAGCCTCTTTTGGGGTCTTCCCCTGGAAGTGGGGGGCTGCGGGGAAGGTGGCGGAGGGGGTCTTGGCACAATTCAGACCCTGGGGCTGTGGCAGGAGCAGTCACCTCACACTCGGTGGCACTGAGGCAGGGGTCGCAGGACGCCCCCCCCTCCCCAAATGGGGACAGTCCAGGCAGCTGGCGAGACAGAGAATGAAATGAAAAACAGAGAAAAAAAAAAAAAAAACCAACAAAAAAAAGCAAAAATCCTATTTTTTGAGAAAGAAAGATATTTATATTTGCAGTTTTATTTTAAAAAGTTATTTAAGTTGAAGCAGCCTTCCCGGAGGTGGGTGGGGGGTGGCTGGCACAGGACGGGTCAGGGGCCTGGAAACTGGGGGGCCCCCAGGAGCTACAACCTCAGAGTTGAGGCTAGCTTGCATTAAATACATAGATTTACAAGGGCGGGGGGTGGGGGGGATCGGGGCCAGGAGGTGGAGGGGGCCGGGGCGACCCCCAATCCCTTGCTGGGACTGCCTGGAGGCTGTGGACGGGGGTCCGATGCCCAGGTCCCACCCCCCGCCCCACCCCCAGGCCCAGAATCCAGGTGCCTTGGACTTTGTGGGGGCCAGGACTGGTGAATGGGGGGCGGGATGGCGCCTTCAGGGTACAGAGCACAGACAGACATTCCAGAGACTGTATTCGAGAGTCTTTATAAAGTGTGGGAGATTTAAAAAAAAAAAAAACCTGATAAAAATGCACTTTTTGGGAGTGGGGAGGGAGAAGCTTTAAAAGTAATTTAAAAAAATACAAACAAAAACACAAAAGATGAAAAAGCAGAAAAAAATTCATTTTTCTTGTACATAAAAAAAACCACTAAACGCAGCCTGTTACGACCGCTGCTGCCTCGGTTGCCTCATTTGATGTTCTGTGTTTCGTTGGGGGGAGGGTGGGGAGCGGGGGCGGAGGGCTTGGGGGGGGTTCCCTTTTTCCTCTTTTGGCCCTGAAGAGACTGGATGGGTTGAGCCCCTGGTCCACATCACACCTTTGGGCCCAGGGTGACTTGACCTTGGGTCTCAAGGAGAGAAACCCTAGGTCCCTGACCCTTCCTGCCCGGCCTTGGAAGCCAGGCTCATCTCTCTGGGGTCCGTCTGTCTCATGGCGGGAGGCAGGGCGTGGACAGTGACCCAGTGTGGGGGTGGGGGCTGAGTATCCAAGGAGGTCCCAGGCCCGAAGGCCCCTGCGGGGAAGGTGACCCACAGCCCCTCGAGTGGGCAGGCAGCTGGCACGGGATAAGGCCAGACGGACAGCAGGGAGAACCGGCCGGGCAGGTTGTTAGCAGAATCCAGGGGTGGGTCTTGGGCACCCCTGTTTCCAGGTTTTCCCAAGGCCCCAGGTGGGGTAGCCTCACCTGGGGGCCATCGGACTCTGCTAGGACCTCAGAGGACCCCAGCATGCTGCCCATGCCAGGCCCTTGGGCCATAAGCCAGGATCTGGAGCTGGAAGTCTCAGCTGCTGCAGCCACTACCTCTGGGTGGGGTCCCTGAGGGACAGCCTCCTCCTCTGACCTGTCCTCCAAGCAGACTCAGCCCATGTCCAAGGAATCTGTCCAGGCCAGCAAGGGTGGGGATGGGGCCAGCCCCAAGGGATGAATGAGGCAGATGCCGCTGCACTGGGCCGGGCACTGGGTCCACTCAGAGTCCCAGCTCCTCTTCTGTGGATTGGGCCCTTCCTAGTAGCCACAGAAAGTCAGCAATGCCAGCCCTCGCCAGGAAGCACCACAAAGGCGACACCACAGAGTCTGAGGGCCACTGGGTCTTTGTGTGGACCCCACGTCAAAGCCCCGTACCCGTGTGATGCCACCCATGAAACTGCTGCAGCTAGGATTCGAGCCCAGGTCCCCAATGCGAGCTGGGGCAGGGTGGGAGGGTCGTCAGTTCTACAGCCAGACCATGTCCTGAGCCCCCTGCCTCCTAGGCCCTCAGACTGTGAGCACACAGGCCTCTGCTCAGAGGTCCCGCAGGCTCAGGAAGCTGAAGGAGCACTGTCAGGACCACCAATCGGGGGTATGCGCTTCTTAACCGCTCCGCTTTAGAGAGGGCTTGATGCAGTGGCTCTTACCTGTAATCCCAGCACTTTGGGAGGCTGAGGAGGGAAGATTGCTTGAGCCCAGTTCGAGACCAGCCTGAAAAACCAGGTGAAACTACACCTCTGCAAAAAGTACAAAAATTAGCCGGGTGTGGTGGAGCACACCTGTGGTCCCAGCTACTCTGGAGGCTGAGGTGGGAGGATTGCTTGAGCCCAGGAGGTTGAGGCTGCAGTGAGCTATGACTGCACCACTGCACTCCAGCCTGGATGACAGAGTGAGACCCTGTCTCAAAAATAAAAGAAAAAAAAAAGTAACTCACATACCAT